GCCCCTGGCCCTTCGTCTATATTCGAGGCCAGGGCATTCACACCCTGATGAATGTTTGAGAGTGTTCGATTGCAGTCCGAGTCAGGTCTGAGTCAGTCCAAAGGTATCTCATGTCTTCCGCTTGCATTTGTATTAACTCTGTATTATCTGGTCGGTTCTGGGAATCTGTGCCATACTCATGTGAGGATTGAGCCCTCAAGTAGGGGCCTTGCCGTGATGTACATGTTCAGGGCTAAGGCCCCAGCAAGCCTCGTGCCCGCCCTAAGTGAAGGCGGGCCAACAAATCAACAAGAGCCCTCTGTGCCAACATTTCACGAAGTGGGGTTCATACAGTTGCAGCACGCCAGTTGGTTGGTGTGCCCCGAGTCTCGGATTTCAGCAAATGCTGAAATGCCCAGGGCCTCTGAGTTAGTTAGGCCCTGGGCACCCGAACATGAGGCCGACAATGCATGCTGGGTAGAGAGGCCGAAAATGCCAAAGGGAAATCGGCCCACTATCTGAATCTGGCCACAGGCCTTGATGAAAGAGGCGCAACTGCACTGCCCGGGGCCCAACTGTATCGAGTTGGCTTCAGCCTCTGGGTCCCGGTCACAGGCTGAAGGGAGGCCGCACACTCGCTGCATGGGCATATAGGCAAGCAGGGCGAGGCAGCAGGGATCTTGGCCAACGCTGGCACATGCGGGCACGCTGCGCGGATGCATGTGTGCTGCGCTAAGAGCAAGCAGGCCAGCGCTAGGCGGTAGGGCGCTGCCTGCACGCAAGGCACTGGCGGCCATAGCCGGGCCGCATGAGGGTGTAGGAGAGGTGAAGGGCGAAGGTGGTCTTCGGAGGTGAAGGGCGCTGTGTGGGTAACAAGGAGAGTGTGGGGAAGAGGACACGTACCTGGTGGAGATGGAGGTCGGCATTGGTGTTGACATCATCACTCGCTGGTAGTCAAGTTGTCTGGTTGCTTTTCATTGCTGTAGTTGTAGGATAGGCTGTAGAGTAGATAGGGCACCTGGCGCCATTCACAAGAGAGAGCTACATTGGGGTTATGCTGTTGGTGTTGCCCTGTTGGGCATGGACATTGGCTCACGATTCTTCTGTATCATTCTCAATTGGATGGTTACTCGGTTCCATGTGCTATCTGCTTTGGCTTTGACTACTTGGACTTCAGTGTGATTTTGCATTCTGGATTTCTGTGCTTCGTCCATACTCATGTTCCTTGCACTTATGACTGTGTTTCACGAGTATGCAACAGTTTGGTATCGGAGCAGACCAGCATTGGATGACTCACCGTTAATTGATTGATTGATTGATTGATTGATTGATTCTCTATACCTGCACTCTGTTATCAGCAAATCGCAAGTTGCAAATTTTTCTTTTCTTTTCTCGTACTTTCATGGTTAATTAGGTCGTTAAATTATAGTTTTAGGTTTTCGACTTTTCTCCACATCGCGCAATTAGGGATTCGATAATTAACGAGTAACCTAATGAGCGCTAATTAGGGTTAGTCCTAACCTAATCTAAACGACCTACCTAACCTATATGAAGTAAGTGCCAGCCAGGCACCGCGCCAATCAAGGCTGATCGGGCCTGAGCAAGGCCATATTCGAACTGCAACTTCACGGAACTTTCACTTTTTGCAAACTGCATCTTTTTTGCGTTTGAAAGGTTAAATCTTTCCAGCAAATTGTGTATCTTCCTGCTACCATTCATCTTCTACTAAATGAGTGACCTCGTGACGATGCTAAATTTTTCCGACGAAATTTCGTGAAATTTTTGAAAGTTATGTCTAAATGTTTAAACTTGCTTAAACTTATTCATTTCTTTTTATTGGTGCAAATTTAAATATTTTGATTAAATATTTAACTTTTGTAAAATTAATTATTGCAAATTTAAATATTCGTTAATCAGGTATTTAATCTTTTGCCGAAATTAAAATTTTATTAATTCCTATTTTTCGATTAAAATTTTATTTAATTTCTCAAAATTCGAAAATTCATCGGGGGGGCGGGAATTTTTTTTTTCTTTGATTAGTGTCAGACTTCGAGGTCAGGGGACAAAGGGACTCTGTGCATTGTGTGCCTCTCTGCCCCTCCTCCCCACCCAACCTTCTCTTCTCCTCTCGGTATACGGTTGCCAGCATCCGGACACGTCAGCAGTGACACATCAGCAGAGTGCCACCTCAGCAGTGACACATCAGCAGAGTGCCACCTCAGCAGTGACACGGCAGCAGAGTGCCACCTCAGCAGTGACACGTCAGCAGAGTGCCACCTCAGCAGTGACACGTCAGCAGAGTGCCACCTCAGCAGTGACACGT